ATGTGAAATGTGAGAAAGAAATGAATTAAGGCCGATTCTAGGAGAGTTTTGAGGTTTACTGAGATGACGGTCACCTCTTTTCAGGGGCTTCCAGTCTTTTGTTCAGAATGGGAGATTCCAGGATAGGTTTTTGGCTTACACACAGTGGCTGCCATGCCCTTCCTTCAGTCTTGCACCACAAGAGAGATTTTTCTCAGGGCTTCCTTCTTGCCCCTTACTTGTGAATCCTGGGAAGATAAAAACCTGAAAATATGTAGTAATACTTTTATGCCTCTTGTGCTAAAGCCCTATAATTTCTTCCTATCTCATATATGTCTTTTAGCGATTTGGTAAATTTTTAACTTGGATTTTTCTTATTGACTTTTGTGGGGTCCTGATCCAGGTTTTTGTCTTCTTTCTCTTTTTTGTTTTCTTTTTTTCTGCTAGGAAAGGAGCAAGTTTTCATAACATGGCTTTGGTGGCATAGTGTAGATGAGAGTTTAAATGACTGGACTGCAGGGAGGTTGACATAGCACTAGCAGGGCAGTAAAGATATATATGGTTGTCCCTGTCACGTGCATATAAACTTCACCCAATTCCCCAAAGTCCAGGAATGGAAAAGGAAGCGTGTAAAATTAACAGCTACAAACCAGGTGCCCACAAGTGTACTCATTGCTTTAGAAAATATACCCAGCACATCTGGAACTAACGCTGTGATTGTCAGAGGGCCAGCATAGTGGCACAGCAGGTTAAACTGCCACTTGTGACGCTGGCATTCTGTATTGGTATGCTGGTTTGAGTCCTAGCTGCTCTGCTTCCTGTCAGGCTTCTAGCTAATGCATCTGGGAAGGTATTAGAAACTAGCCTAGGCCGGTGCCGTGCCTCACTTGGCTAATCCTCCGCCTGCGGCGCTGGTACCCCCGGTTCTAGTCCCAGTTGGGGCGCAGGATTCTGTCCCGGTTGCTTCTCTTCCAGTCCAGCTCTCTGCTGTGGCCCAGGAGTGCAGTGGAGGATGGCCCAAGTCATTGGGCCTTGCCCCTGCATGGGAGACCAGGAGAAGCACCTGGCTCCTGGCTTTGGATCGGCGCAGTGCTCCAGCCGAAGCAGCCATTTAGGGGGTGAACCAACAGAAGGAAGACCTTTCTCTCTGTCTCTCTCTCTCTCACTGTCTAACTCTGCCTGTCAAAAAAAAAAAAAAGAAAAAAAAAGAAAAAGAAACTAGCCCAAATACTTGGACCCCTGCCATGCAGGGAGTTCCTGGCTCCTTGCTTTGTCCTGGCCCAAATTTGCCTACTGGGGCCATTTGGAGAGTGAACCAAAGAGGAAAGAGAATCTGTTTCTCCCTTTTTGTCTGTCATTCTGTCTTTCAAATACATAAATAGATGAATCTTTTTTTTTTAAAAAAGCTATGATTATTATAATGATTAAATTCATGATAATCTATAGTCATTTTTATTTTAAATATTTATTATTTGAAAGACAGTTACAGAGAGATAGAGAGAGGAAGAGAAAGGAGAGAGGAAAGGAGAGAGCTCTTTCATCCAGTGGTTCACTCCACAAATGACTGCAAAAGCCAGGACTGTGCCGGGCTAAAGCCAGAAGCCTGGGGCTCCATTTGTATCTTCCACATGGGTGCAGGGGCCCAAGCCCTTGGACCATCTTCTGTTGCTTTCCCGGGCACATTAGCAGTGAGCTGGATCTGAAGTAAATTAAGTAAGGCTGAAACAAGTGCTCATATGGGATGGCAGCTTAACCTGCTGCACCACAATGCTGGCCCCTTTTTACAGTCATTTTCTGCAAGCAGTCTGATTTTTGTGCTGGCCAAACAGGAAAGTAAAATGGAAATCTGATATAGGAACCTGCAGCTTTCAGGGCTCTGATAGTCCCACTGAAGTGTAATTTCTCCAGTGATGCAGTATTAATTTTCATTTTGCCCTCTTGGTGGATGGTGTATAGGATGGGGTAGGGGAAGTTGCAGAGCTTTCTACTTGGCCCCTACTATCATTGTCTCCCTTAGGTTACCATTTATTCATTAAACAATTTAGTAACTCCCACTGAACATTCTGGGACTAGGAATAGGTTCCTGCCTCACCGGATCCACTGTTAGATGATCTCAGGCCAAGATTCTATCACTTGACCTTCATAATTCCCCAGTTTGATGGATGGTCTTCAGTGGCAGCCACACTGGGCACCTGTGTGTCAGCATAAGTTTAGAGCCAGTATATAATAACACCCGGGTTTGCGTATTTACCCTTTCTCATGCTTTTGGAAGCTCTCAGGGAAAATTCAACATATATACCTAGGGCACCCGGCAGGATCCTTCCTCAGCAGGTCCTGGCCTGGCCTTTCTATCAAGTGAGAGGCATTTGGGACCATGAACTGGTTTAGATCTCAGAGCTGAATAAGATGTGAGTCCTTACCACGGTGGGTTAGGTTCATGCTTAGAAGACGTGGAAGCTTTTCATCTGTGTAAATCAAAGAACACTGTAACGGTCTGCCCATGTGTTTCATCTCCGAGGCCTGTAGTCATTTGGTTGTTACCACAGATCCTTGCAAGTTAAAATTGCTATAGCTGTTATGTTTCTGTAATTGTGCTCATCATCTCTATGATGGCAAAGCAGGGTTAGCTGGATTTTACCATTCCAGGATCCTGTTGTCCCCACTGTGATTACTGAATCAAACTCGTTCACTCCTGCTTCACTATTGTTTTTTTTTTTTTCCCGTTTTTGGGGTCAGCACCCACAAGACTGTTTCAAGGGTATTGTGCTCACTCCCTTTTTCTAGGGGATAAGGCATGACTAAGCATTCTCCATATTGCAGATCAGTTCTCATATCCATGAACCTTAGAACCCATTCCTCTATAGCAGTAGTTCTCAAAGTAAAGTCCCCATGGCAGTGTTACCTAGGAAGTTGTTAGAAGTGCAAACACTTGAACTCCACTCCAGGTCTGTTGAATTAGAGACTCTGAGGGTGAGACTGAGTTTTATCAAACATTCCAGGTGACTCTGATGCATGTTAAAGTTTGAGGTCATTCAGTTAGAGTATGCCAAGGTAGTTTTCAGCAAGGCCACACTGGCTAGAGCTGGTCCAAGACCACCTTTGTGGGGGAAGAGTATGTAGGAGACTGAGGGTCTCTAATGGTCCCTCATGAATGGGTTCAGGAGTCACAGCTGAATGATTCTGGGAGGGGAATGCTTCAATCAGGCCCCATCAGTATGTGAGTGTTCTTGGAAAGAAGTTTATGCAGGAGTGGGCTAAATCTCTCCAATGTGGGGAGAGGGTCCCTCAGCCAGTTTCATTTGTCAAGAGAGGATGAGCAGAGTTTGGAGATTCAGAATTCTCACTCTCATCCACATCTGTAAACATTCCATATTTCAGATTCCTATTCCTTCCCTAGTAGCCTCATTACCTTGGTGCACAGGGATTATGGAGTTTGGATATTTCATAGATAACTGCAGGTACACTTTTAATCTGAAAGGAGTGGCTAAGTGACAACACAGTGTGTGTATGTGCACATTCTTATCCACTGGTTTATTCACTCAGTGGCTACAATAGCCTGGGCTGGGATGGGCCAACCCCAGGAGCTGGGAACTCAATCTGATTCCTCCATGTGGGTGGCAGGAATCCAATTCCTTGAGCCAGCCCTTGATCCAACTGGGATCTGCACTGGCAGGAAGTTGAAGTCAGGAGCCAAAGCTGGAAATCAAACCCAGGTACCTTGATATGTGACATGGGTGTCTTAATTGCTAGGCTGAAGGCTTGCCCCTGACTGTGTAGTCTTTATAAGCATTATTGTTGTCCTGGTGGCTAAGTGGCTCAGTTTCCCAATGTCTTGAATTAAGCATCATAATCTGCTAAAACTGGTGACATCCAGAGAAGTTTTAATACTACCACATATCACAGATTTTCTGTATTTTATTTCACACTGCCAAGGAGGTTTTCCTAGAATGTGCATGTGTGTGTGTGTGTTTTCCCTGAGTCTGCCTCTGGGCAGTTACTTTATCATTAAGGTCCCAGTAGTGAACAGCACTCTCAGCTTAGGATAATTATGAGAAGGAATGATAAAGGGGAAATTCATAAAGATGTCAATGTATACGGCAACCACAAATAATAATGCAATATCCTGGAACTAGAAATAGTCAATCCGTTATCTGCTCCTGAGTTTGAGAGGCAAAAATAAGGGCTGATGGCTAGAACTGAAGGAAGGAGTTTATTAGAAAGGATTTCTTTGAAAGAAATAGTGATCTTTGCTGAAGACCATAGGCCAGTTTGAGGCAACCATTCATGAGGGAACCAGAGGAATAAATAACTCGACTTTACCATTCTCCTTCCCTCCTTGGGGGTTCCTAATTGGACAAACAGGATGAGAAGACAGGTCGAGGTCCTATGGTTGTAGTCTACACTAATCAGTCCCCAGCACAAAGATCAAAGTGAGGAAGGACAGAGATGATGAGTGTGGAGGTGAAGGTCAAACATCTGTGGCACAGAAGGACTTTCTACGGTGTCATATCACTGGAAAAGGGAACTGAGATGTTTGTGTACTGTAGGCAGAGTTGATGATGAGGGCTTCCACTGGAATGTGGAGGGGAGTAGAGAGTGCATGAAAGTAATGATAGAGAAGGACATCAACGTTTCTTTTATTTTCCTAGTGTTTGGCACTTTCATGTAGTACACCCTCAGTAAATGTTTATGAAATGATAGGATTACAATGTTTGAGGATGTGTTTGTTCCACCCTCTGGCGGAGGGTGAGGTGGGAGGTGGAAGTTAAGCCTGAAGGGGCGCTATTCCAGATTTCCGTTCTCTAGGGAGGCTATGGCTTTGCTTTCTTAAACTCTACAGAGATTCTTCATGCCACATGAAAATTTTTAATGAGTGAAAAGGAGGAGTTGGATGGCATGAAATTAGCATGTAATTTTATTTTCATAACAGAGAAGTAGTAATTTTCTGTGTCACTGTTTATTGGTTGGTTTAGAAAGACAATTATATTTCAGTACTTAAAAGATCCCCTCTTTAAATATAGATCCGCATCTCATGGAACACTTCCTGGACAGAAAAAATATTTTATCAGACTTCCATTATATGAACGTCCAATACGAAGTCCCAGCTTGCCTTCATGTTTAAATTTTGATAATTTTGTCCAGAGTATGGGAGGAATTCCAGAAAATAGTGATCCTCGGACATGGGCACTTGATATGTTCTTTAAGTATGAACTTTGGAAAGAACCCAAAGAAGTTGTTGAAACATCTGTTCTGAAAGACTTGCCCAAAACAATGAAAGAATCAAAAAAGCTAGAATTAAGTGATTCTCTGAAGTGTGACCTTCCACCAGGAGTTATTGAACATTATGAATCCGAAGTGCAAATCCTGACTGAAGAAATAAATAGTAAGAAAACATTTCCTGTATTTGCATATTGTAGGCGTGGAGCTATTTACAGAAAACTGGGAAAGTTAAAGAGTGCCATGAATGATCTACAGAAAGTAAGTTTTCTTTAAAAAATAATATTCACTAATTACATTACAATTAATTGTATAGTAATCTTTACTGGAATTTTTGGGCAATGAATGTGCGATATCATATGGGATTGTGAAAATATGATCATTGACATTTTCTAGTAATTAATATTTAAAACATTAAATTTTTATTTGTCAGATTATTTTAAACATTTTATAAATATGTATGCAAAGCCACTGGGGTTGATAGTGTTTGAAAGTTTTGATAGGATATCTTCCTTTAACATGTCAATTTTAATTAAATGTATACATATATTTTCTAGGTTATAACCTTGGAACCATTGTTTCTCAACGCCTACTGGCACCGGCATTTCATTTATCTTTTCCAAGACAAAATTAATGAAGCATTGGATGACTTGAATTATATATCCAAATATAATAAAAATAATGCAGGTGGGTTTTCTCTGGGAATAGTTATATTACTTTATGTCTTTTTCATTTATTTGTATTATAAGGATACATAAATAAAAAATATAAGTTCTGGGAAAATGGCTGTTATTTGATGTTGTAAATTCAGAGCTCAAATAATCCTATTTTATTATATTTGTTTTCAAAATAATCTTCATCATTCGATATGTTCATGTCCTTGATATTCATTGCAGGAAATTAGTTCCTTACTACTCATCTTACAAGAAACCATGAAATTGAAAATTTTTGTTTTAGGGGCTGCTGTATGGTGCAGTGTGTTAAATTGCTACCTGGAATGCCAGCATATCAGAGTGCTGGTTTGTATCCCCGCTGCTCTGCTTCTTCTGATGCAGCTCCCTGCTAATGTACCTGAAGAAAAGCAGCAGATGGCACAAGTATATTTGTGCCCCTGCCCAAGAGGAATGGGATTCTAGGAATTCCAGTCTGCTGGCTTTGGCCAGGAGCAGCCTGGCTGTTTCAGTCATTTGGGAAGTGAACTAGCAGATGGAAGACCTCTCTTTCTCGCTCTCGCTCTTGCTCTCACTCTCTCCTCCTGTCTTTGTCACTCTGCCTTTCAAATCAAGCCCTGGTCTAAAATGCCAGCATCCCATATGGGCACCAGTTATAGTCCCCATCTGCTCCACTTCTGATCCAGCTCTTTGCTATGACCTGGGAAAGCAGTTGAAGATGGCCCAAGTCCTTGGGCCCCTGCACCCATGCGAGAGACCTGGAGGAAGCTTCTGGCTCCTTGCTTTGGATCAGCGCAGCTCCAGCCATTGTGGCCATCTGGGGAGTGAACCATCAGATGGAAGACCTCTCTCTCTCTGTCTCTACCTCTCTCTGTAACCCTGTCTTTCAAATAAATAAAATAAAGCTTTAAAAAAATTATTCACAGGGGAGATCCAAGATGGTGGAATAGGGAGGGAGCTTCCTGCTATAGCCTAGGGGAAGATAGTTTTAAAAAAGGGAAGAGTTAGGGAGAAAACAGCAGAGGAAATTCCACATAAATTAGAGGACACTGGGGACCTATGTGGAGGCTGTGGACACACACAACGTGGGTGAGGTCAAGAGCCTCAGCAGCAGCTCTGGAGAATGAGGTGAGACCAGACTACAGCAGCCCAAGCCAGTAGTGATAAAGCTGTGGTAAGAACCTGGTGCTGGTCTGGCTTGGAGCCCTGTGTACCTGCCAAACTAGAAGAGAAAAAGAAGAGGCACATTTCATTCTCCCCTACCACCAGCACCAGTGTCCTGTAACAATCTGAGAGCAGGTGGGTGCTAGTTTGGACATACGTAACAGCTCCACCAGCTCATGTCCATGTGCCCAGTAATCAGCCAGGCAGAGATGCTGGAATCTGGCTGGTAGAATTAACAGGGGTCTGGGTGCTCATGACTGTGTGAGGCTTGTGTACTGGGACTATGAAAACACTGTGCTGTGTGAGAGGGCAAGAGTGTGGTTGGGACTTTGGGCAGTCACTGTGGGCAGCTCCACAGGCTCAAGGCTCCCTGATTCCCTGGTGAAGGTCATTGCTGATGGATTCGGACTTACACTGAGGATGGTGCAGATCCTTGTGTGGTTCTTGTGGCAGCATGAATGAATATTGTACCTACAGGCTCTAGTGCCCAGGCATGGGTCACCTTTTAGGAGAGGATGTAAACGTGAGACTATGTCAACAGAGAAGAACAAACCTTCTCTCTGATACAAAAAAATTTACCATGCCCAACCTCATGTTGCCTTGGATACTGCCTTCATCCTGAGCACTGAACAGAGCTCCCTGGCCACACCCACCACAAAGTTGGGTACTAACTGAAAAATCAGACATTCCACTAAGCCACCAAGGCATAGTCCAAAGATAAAATGCATCACAGGGAAGAAACAAAACAAAACAAAGAAGAAACCAACAAGTATCTCTACAAATGCCAAATAATAAATGCAGCAGTTCAGGAAACAAAAATAAGGAAGACAACATGAACCCACCAAAAGAACATAACACCTCAATGTTCAAACATGAAGATAAAGAGATTGAAGAAATGCCAGAAATGGAATTAAAAAAAAATTGATTTAGGATTACTTAAAAGTAATCAGAAGTAATGAAATCCATATATGACATGAAAGAAAATTTCTCCCATGAAATTGAGATCTTAAAGAGAAATCAACATGAAATCTTGGAAGTGAAGAATTCAATAGAACAAATAAAAAAGCAGTGGAAAGCATTAACAACAGACTTAGTGAAGCATAAGAAAGAATATCTGAGTTAGAAGAATCCCTGGAAATTTTACAGTCAGACCAAAAAGAAAAATTAGAAAACTAAACAGCAGTGTGGGAGATTAATGGATATTATCAAATGATGGAACATTTGAGTTTTAGGAGTTCTTGAAGGTGTGGAAAGAGAGAATGGATAAGACCTTTTTAGTGAAATCATTACGGAAAATATTCCTAATTTGGAGAACAAAAGGGATGTCTGAGTACAGGAAGTACATAGAACTCCTGATAGACATGGCCAGAAAAGATCTTCACCATGACACATTGTAGTCAAACTCTCCACAGTAAAACATAAAGAAAAGATTCTAAAATGTGCAGGAGAGAAATGCCAGATTACTTTCAGAGGATCTCCAATTAGACTCACAGCTGACTTCTCATCAGAAACCCTACAGGCTAGGAGAGAATGACGAGATTCCAAGTCTTAAGAGAAAAAAACTGTCAGGATATTGTACTCTGCAAATCTCTTATTTATGAATGAAGGTGAAATAAAACCTTCCTAACAGACAGAAATTGAAAGAATTTGTGATCATCCATCCAGCTTTATAAAAGGCGCTTGAGGATGTGCTACACACAGATACACAGAAACATGGTCATCATTATGAAAGATGGTGAAGGCAGAAAATCTCCCAGCAAAAGCAAAAAGGAGGTCCAAAGTGTCGCTCCCCCTCTTCATGGAGGAACGACACTAAGCCCTGCCTAGGCTTCATATCCGAGTCACGGCACCATTATGTCGCTCCCCCTCTTCGTGGAGGAACGACACAGGACCCTGCGCTGTTCTTTCGTCTGCTCGGCCCTCCCCGGGTGTGCTGCTGGTTCTTCCCGGGTTGGCTACTATCCCTTCCACCTCCGTGGAAGGGCAGTTCCCCCTGGCCACATTCCCCACTTCCGCAGGGGAGTGGCACACCGCCGGCTCTTCTCGGGGGCTGCACGGGTGTTCCTTCAGCTAGATGTTCCCCATAGATGTTCCTGGTGCATGCCGTCTCTCTCCTCCTTTATAGTCCTCCTCCGCCAATCCCAACTCGGCTGCCCACACGCCGAGTACGCTGCTCTCCAATCAGGAGCAAGTCCTGCAGTTAATTGGTTGAACTGGAGGCAGCTGTGCGGAAGCTGTTTACTTCTCTCCCAGCGCCATATTGTGGGAGAGCAGATGCATAGAATAAGTCTTAATTCCAGTAACTCAGTCTAGTCCGGCTGCTCCCCACACAAAGTAAATAGAAATATTTATGGAAAAATGGCATGGCAAAGTTGTTACTTATCAATAGCCACCTTGAATGTAAATGGCCTCAACTTTCCAGTTAAAACATACAGACTGGATGAATGAAAACCCATCTATTTGGTGCTTGCAAGAAACACGTTACCAACAGATACCTGCAGTCTGAAAGTGAAAGGATGGAAAAAGATATTCCTTGTGAACAGAATTGAAAAAAAGAGCTGGTGTAGCCATTCTAATATCAGACAAAATAGACTTTAACACAAAAACTGCTAAAAGAGACAAAGAAAGGCACCATGTAATGATTAAGGGACTAATTCAACAGGAAGGTGTGACTTTCATAATTGTATTTGCACCTAATTACAGGGTGCCTGGCAATTTAAAAGAAATGTTAATGGATCTTAGGGCAGACATAGATTCCAATGCAATAGTAATGGGGGACTTCAATGACCCCTTTTAACAATGGACAGATAAACCAGACAGAAAATCAGCAAGGAAACAACAGAGTTAATTGACATTATGGACCAAATGGATCTAACAGATATCTACAGAACATTTCATCCTACAGTCCCAGAACATACATTCTTCTCACTAGTTCATGGAACTTTCTCTGTGATTGACCAGATGCTAGGCCAATAAATCAAGCCTCAGCAAATTAAAAAAAAAATTGAAATCATGCCAGGCATCTTCTCTGACCACAATGGAATGAAGCTGGAAATCAACAACTTATGAATCTCTAGAACATATGCAAACACATGGAGACTGAAAAACATGTTCCTAAGTGAACAGTGGGTCATAGAATGAATCAGAAGAGAGCCCTGCACCCCATGGGAGACCAGGATAAGTACCTGGCTCCTGCCATTGGATCAGCGCGGTGCACTGGCCTCGGCAGTCATTGGAGGGTGAACCAATGGCAAAGGAAGACCTTTCTCTCTGTCTCTCTCTCTTACTGTCCACTCTGCCTGTCAAAAAAAAAAGCATTAAAAAAAAAAGAATGAATCAGAAGAGAAATCAAAAGTTTTCTGGAAACAAATGAAGATGACAATACAAAATATAAAAACTTATGGGATACAGCAAAAGCAGCGTTAAGAAGAATAGTAATTGGTGCCTACATCAAGAAATTGGAAATGAGCTATGGATGCATTTCAAGGACCTAGAAAAACAACAGCAAACCAAACCCAAAACTAGTAGGAGAAAAGAAATAATTAAAATTAGAGCAGAAATCAACAAAATTGAAGCAAAAAAAAATCAGCAAAATGAAGAGTTTTTTTTTTTTTTTTTTTTTTTTTTTTGGAAAAAAAATTGACACACCATTGGCCCAACTAACAAAAAAAAAAAAAAAAAAACCAACAACAACAACAACAACAAAACACCCGAATCAGTAAAATTAGAGATGAAAAAAGAAATATAACAACAGACACCACAGAAATAAAAACAAATTATCAGTAATTACTACAAAGAGCTGTATGCCAACAAACTGGGAAACCTAGAAGAAATGTACACATGCATCCTACCTAAATTGAACCATGAAGACACAGAAAACCTAAACATACCCATAACCAAGACATAAATTGAATCAGTAATAAAGACACTGCCAACAATGAAAAGCCTAGGACCAGATGGCTTCATTGCTGAATTCTACCAGACATTTAAAGAAGAACCAGCTCCAATTCTTCTCAAGCTATTCAAAACAATTGAAAGGGAGGGAATCCTCCCAAACTCCCGTGAAGCCAGCATCACCTTAATTCCTAAATCTGAAAAAAGATACAACAGAGAAAGAGAGCTACAGACCAATTTCTCTGATAAACAGATGAATGGGTTGGAAGAATAAATATCATCCAATGTCCATACTACTGAAATCAATTTACAGATTCAATGTGTTAACAATCCAAATACCAAGGACATTCTTGTCAGATATAGAAAAAATTATGCTGAAGTTCACATGGAACACAGGAGACATTGAGTTGCTAAAGATATCTTATACAACAAAAACAAAGCTGGAAGCATCACAATACCAGATTTCAAGACATACCACAGGACAGTCATAGTCAGAACATCTTGGTACTGGTACAAAACAGATGGATAGACCGATGGAACAGAATAGAAACACCAGAAATCAATCCATGCATCTTCAACCAACTTATCCTTGACAAACGAGCTAAAATCAATTCCTGGAGCAAGGACATGGCAGAAGTATGAAGCAAGACTCATACCTTACACTTTACACAAAAATCCACTCAAAATGGATAAAAGAACTAAATCTATGACATGATACCATCTAATTATTAGAGAACATTGGGTAAACCCTGCAAGACATTGGCATAGGCAAAGACTTCTTGGAAAAGACCCCAGAGGCACAGCAGTCAAAGCCAAAATTGACAGATGGAATTACATCAAATTGAGAAGCTTCTGTACTGCAAAAGAAATACTCAGCAAATGAAGAGGCAACAGGCAGAATGGGAGAAATGATTTGCAAACTATGCAACTGATAAATGATTAACAACCAGAATATATAGAGATCAAGAAACTCAACAACAGCAAAATAAACAAGCTAGTTAAGAAATGAGCAAAGGACTTAAACAGGCATTTTTCAAGAGGAAATACAAATTGCTAACAGATACATGAAAAATTCTCAGCTGTCTGGGAAATGCAAATCAAAATCACAATGAAGTTTCACCTCACTCCTGTTAGAATTGCTTTCATACAGCAATCAACAAACAATAAATGCTGGTGAGGATGTGGGGAAAAAGGCACCCTAGTCTATTGTTGGTGGGAATGTAAAGTGATCCAGCCCCTGTGGAAGACTGTACCTCAGAAATCTGAAGATAGACCTATCATATGACCCAGCCACTCCTTGGAATTTATCCAAGGGAAATGAAATCAGCATATGAAAGAATTATCTATACCCTCATGTTTATTGCAGCACAATTCACAGTAGCTAAGATATGGAATCAACCTAAATGCCCATCAACTTAAGACTGAATAAAGAAATTATGGGATGTGTACACATGGAATTTTACACAGCAGTAAAAAAAATGGAATCTGGTCATTTGTAACAAAATGGATGAAACTGGACAACATTATACCTAGTGAAATAAGCCAGTTCCAAACGACAAATACTTTATGTTCTCTCTGACCTGTGATAACTAATAGAGCACCTAAAAGGCAATATATGGGAGTGAAATTGACACTATCAGAAGCAATGACTTTGAACAGCCCTTTTCTCGACTGCTGAGGAACATTTTTGTTTTTCATACTCTATGTTGAACTCTTTGCTTAATATAGTTACTAATACGTATGTAAAGTTAATTGACCATAGATCTTAGTAAAAAATGCAAATGTGAATAGGAGAGGGATGAGGAAGTGGAGTGGGAGAGTGGGTGGAAGGGGGGGTATGGTTGGAAAAATCATCATGTTCCTAAAGCTGTTATTATGAAATGTTTGAAATTTATATTCCTTAATTAAAATGTTTCTGTGGAAAAAATATAATTTATTCACAGGGACTGGTGTTGTGGCATAGCCAGTTCAGCACTGCCTGCAATGCCAATATTCTGAGCTGCTGGTTTCTGTCCCAGCTGCTCTACTTCTGATTCTGCTACCTGCTAATGGCCTGGGAAAAGCAGCAGAAAATGGCCCAAGTGTTTTGGCCTCTTCCATCCCCATGGGAGATCCAGGTGAAGCTCCTGGCTCCTGACTTTGGCCTGGTTGAGTCCTGGTAATTGCTGCCATCTGGGGAATGAACCAGTAGTGGGTGGAAGATAACCCTGGTCTCTGTCTCTCCCTCTCTCTCTAACTCTGACTTTCACATAACTAAATAAACTTAAAAAATTATTCGCAAATGTTTTCTTGACCACCGATCTTTGCATTATAGCTTTAGTGTTCCTAGAACTTAATGATTGGATGAAATCTGTACCTTTGCCCTCAAGTATTGTACTGTAACCAACTTAAACCACTAGACATGGAGCTTCCCAGGAATATGAAAGTATCACACTCGTCTTTGCATCCCCAGTACCCAAAACATACTCAGAGAATCTAACACGAGCTTAGTAGATGTTTTTTTTGAGTTGTGTTGCTTTCTGATTGCTAAAAGTCTATACAATTTTGTGTTTTAAAAACTTTTTTACTTTGATCATGAAAAGATTATGAAACATTTTAGACATACAAAAAGGTAAAAGGTAATTTTTATCACTTCAGATTGTACGTATTTTAAGCAATAAATGAATGGTTATCCAGCCTTTGAAAAAAAATTTGGTGTTGTTAGAATAAAATTTAAATGAAGCACTGAAGAAAGTTTAATGGAGAAAAAAATTATTTTAAGACTGTATTTTCAGAGGGAGAGGGATTAATCTTTTAAAATTTTCATAGTTAATGAAATGATTGTAACAGTAAATTTTACTTTTTAATCTTCTTTAGAGGTGTATCTGTCGAAAGCAGAAATTTTTAGGAAACAAAAAGATGCTGCTCTTGCAATTCTAAACTATAGCCAGGCAATTAAGTGCAGACCCACAGATGCGGACATCTATTTCAGGAGGGGAGAGATGTATGAAAAACAAAACAGAGCGTTGGCCATTGATGACTTTTCTAAAGTAAGCCTTGTCACGAACAACACTGCCGTCTATGTTTCTGATAGTGATAATCTCATTTTAGGAGTATAGCAAGTTTTTGAAAATCTTTTCATATATATTATGTAATAAAATTAACTTATAGGTTAGCAGCTAAAGGTTTCATTATTGATGTTGGCATTAATACTTCATTAGTGATTTTTAAATTATTGCTGGGGGATGAATAGATTCACAACAAAGGAGTTGGGGTGGGGCAATTGTAGGAACTCTGAGGGAGGGCTCGTTGTTTCCAGCTCTCTTCTCAAACCATGAAACAGTGATAAGGAAGCTTTTTAAACCATTGAAAACTTTTTTTTTCCATTGAAATAATGAGAAAAATTTTCCCCATTTTTTTAAACACTTGAATAGCTGATTCTCTTCTGCAGGAAACCCACCTGCTTTCAAAGAAGCTGTGTTTTTAGGTTCATTCATTCATTTATTCACTCCCTCACAAACGCTGACGAAGGCACTGACTAATGTAGTGCATACACGGTAGTGCAAGAACCACTGCTGCTTACATAGAAGCTATCATTTAAAGGGCAGATATGCAGAGATGTATAAACACATACATAAATAAGCAATTACAAATTGTGATTTGTGCTGTGAAGGAAATACAGGTGACGTAATTTACATTTAGTTAGGGGAGTTCAGGGAATGTCCTTGAGGAAGTGTACTTTTAGTTCAACCATATTTTGAGGCTAGACTTAGGGTAAAATGTCATCTTGAGTGTAGCAAAATTGTCACCTTGATCTCCTGACTTTTAATTCCAAATCTGTAGTGCTCAGTACACTGGAGACATTAGAAGAAATTGTTTAGATAATTTTCTGTGTTCTCAGTTGCCTTTTTTTTTTTTTTTAAATAAACCCTTTTTTGAAATGGTGAGCTTTTTTTTTCTCAGATTTATTTATTGGGGCCAGCACTGTGGCATAGTAGGTAAGGCTGCCACCTGCAGTGCTGGCATCCCATATGGGTGCCAGTTCGAGTCCTGGCTGCTCCACTTCTGATCCAGCTCTCTGCTATGGTCTGGGAAGGCAGTAGAAGATGGCTCAAGTACTTGAGCTGCTGCACCCATGTGGGAGACCAAGAGGAAGCTCCTGGCTCCTGACTACTGATTGACCCAGCGTCCAGCCATTGTGGCCAACTGGGGGGTGACCTAGTGGATGGAAGACCTCTCTCTCTGCTTCTGCCTCTCTGTAACTCTGCCTTCGAAATAAATAAATAAATAAACATATCTTTAAAAAACACATTAAAAAGATTATTTGAGAGGCAGAATTACAGACAGAGCGAGGGAAAGACAGAGAGGTCTTCCATCTGCTGGTTCACCCCACAAATGACGGCAACGCGCAGAGCTGCACTGATCAGTAGCCAGGAACTTCTTCCAGGTCTCCCATGTGGGTGCAGGAGCCATCTTCCACTGCTTTCTCAGGCAGTTAGCAGGGAGCTAGATTGGAAGTAGAGCAGCTGGGACTTGAACTGGCACCCATATGGGATGCTGACACTGCAGATGGAGGCTTAGCTTACTACACCACAGCACCAGCCTCCTCTGTTGCCTTTTTAACTTAGGATGATTTCTGCATATACTCAACATTCTTCTGCTTGAGTAAAATATTGGAGTTCTGTAACTTCTGGTCTGGAAATGACCCCAAATCTAAAAAATCTGAATATAGTGAAATTATTAGATTATTGATTCTGTTAATTTCCTCTATCTGGCACAAGTAGATTAAAGCAGCACCCTGAGGTCAGGTAAACATCAAAATACTGTTTTTTGTTTTGTTTTAAAAATTCTTGGTAACTTCCCTTGTGCCTTGATTCTTTTCTTCTACCGTTAGGGGAAGAGTTTTATAACAGAGTAGATAATAATGTAATCTGTCTACTCCACTGCCTTGTATGTCAATGTGAAATGAATGAATTATTCTTGTACCAATTTATTTCTTTTCCTCAGAGAGCACATTAATCCATATTTTATTTGATTGAATCAGCCTTGATATAGTCTACCGTGTCTCATCTTTAGGATACAATGCTGTGATGGATCCAATATTAACTCCACTCTTGAGCATTTCACTTATGAATTTTTATCAGTGAAAATTTCAGTGGCAAAAAGTATTTACTTCTTGTACTTGGTGTTTTTTCTTTCTTAGAAAATATTCTCTAAAATTTGATGATGGAAAGATTTATCTTACTTTATGTAATCTGAAGTTAAAAATCTGGCTGTAGTCCACTGACCTTGCTATGTGACTGTATAGGTAGTGTACTTTTTCATTATGTGATATGTTTATGCACCTCCTTCCACCCCTGTAGTGTATTTTTTATGATCCCCAAAGAACAGATGCATTATTTAAACGTGGGATGTTTTACTATGAAAATGAAAACTGGATTTTAGCCACACAGGATTTTACAGCTTTGTTAAATATAGATCACCAACATTCCAAAGCAAGGTAAGAATTATTTTAGATGCAGATTTTGAAATTATTATTTGAAATATATTTTCAGTAGAGCAAATCACTTGAAATACAAGCAGACAATCCTTTAAAAACGATTAATTTTCACTGCCACTAGTGAATGAAGTTCCTAACCTACCTACATCTTTATGGCAGTGGGTAACTTATCAAGTGAAAATGTCAATTATGAATTGTGTGATGGGGCCTGTGTTTTGGTACAGTGGGTTAAAATCCTCTGCCTGTGATAGCTGCATCCCATATGAGCACCAGTTTGAGTCCTGGCTGCTCCACTTCCAATCACTCCCTGGTAATGCACCCGGGAAAGCAATGGAAGATGGTCCAAGCTCTTTGGCCCTTGCCTCTCTTGTGAGAGACCTGGATGGAGTTCCAGGCTCCTGGCTTTGGCCAGCCCCAGCCACAGATGTTACAGATGTTTGGGAAGTGAAACAGGAGATAGAAAATCCATCACTTTCTCTTTCTCTCAAACTCTGCCATTCAAATAAATAAATCTTTCTTTAAAAAGAACTAGTCTTCATTTCCTGCAAAGCTAGTACTGCGGAGCAGTCGTAAGGGACAGTCTTTCCACTAATGTTTCAGGAAAAATTGGATATGCACATGAAAAAAGAAAATCTGATCCCTACTTCACACCATATACAAAAATTGATTTTAGATATATCATAAATTTAAATTTGAGAGAAAAAATAAGAAGTCTTCTAAAAATCATATAGAATATCTACATGGCATCAGGGTAGGAAAAAACATTCTCATATAACAGAAAATATAAGCTTTAAATAAGAAGACAATAAACTGGAATATATTACGTTTAAGAACTGTTTATCAAAAATAGTATTTAAGCAGTACAATGGCAATCAAGAAAGGGAAAAATATTTGCCATAAATGTACCCAACAAAGGCTTATATCAAGAAAGCAAAACAAATTTAAGAAAAACAGACAACCTAAGAGACATAAATAGCAAAAGGGGAAATCCAAATGGTTAATAGGTATGTGAAAAATGCAGTCATGTTAGTAATGGATAGGTATGTGAAAAATAAAGTCATGTTAGTAATGAGGAAAATGAAAAAAATGAAACCCAGTAGGACGTTACTGTATTCATGTGGATGGCTGACATTTGAAAGTCATATAATAAAATTGGTGCTAATGTAGAACTCACCTACACTGCTGATAGCACAACCACTTTGGAAAATCAGTTGGACCCTAAAGCTTTATAAATACACTTGCAGACTCTGTGAACCAGAAACCCTATATCCAACAAATGCAGGCCTGTGTGTACCTAAAGATATGCACAAGAGCATTCAAGGGAACAATATTGAGAATCATGAAAAATTAGAAACACTCAAACATCCACCAACAGTGTAGTGGCTAAGTAAATTATAGTGTATCCATCTGCTGAATACTGCACAAGATAATAAATAAGTTAACTAGAGAAGCATACAACACTGTATAATACTCATCAAAAGAAGCTAGATGTGAAATAGTATTATGTGATTCTATTTATATGGGGTTCAAAAAGCAGGCAAACTCAACTAATGTTACCTAGGGTCACACACTTACATGATGTAGCTAGGAAGAGCTGTGAGGAAGTGATTAAAACACAGTCAGGATAGCTGTTACCTTCCAGGGGAGGCAAAGATGCAAGGGAGTTTGTAGAGTCCTGAAATGATTTAATGTTGACCTGGTGATAGTTACACAGGCATTTAGAGTGAGAAAAGTCACTAAGGTGAACGTCTCTGTTTTGTATACTTTGTGGATGCGTGATTTCACTCAAAGTGTTTTAAAATTGCAAGTGAAAGGATGAGTAGGTATGACTATACACACATTTTATACCTCTTCAAAACGAAACTGAGATGAAAAGAAAAACAGCTAAGTGAAAACTGCATATAAAAATGGAAGAACAAAGTTTACTATACCAATTACACTAAAATAATGAAGAAATCTACATGAATAGTTCTCTGTATAATTAACACAAAAGATATGAAAAGGAATTCAGGAAGAATAATATAGATAGTAAGCAATGCTTTAAAAGCTTTGTGATGTAATCAGTATTTATGAAATGCAAATGAAATTAGTTTTTAAAGCATTAATTTATTTTAAATTGGCAACTTATACCGGTATATATTCTTGGAATACAGTATATTATGAGTTATGTATACAATTTGTAATGATTAAGTCAAGCTAATTAACATTAATCACATCACATACTTGTTTTTTGTGTTGAGAACATTGAAAATTTACTCTTTTAGCAATTTTGCAATATATATTATACCATGCTATGCAATCGGTCACTAAAGCTTAGTCCCTGGTCTAACTGAAACATTGTACTCATGTCCGATCTCCTGTTTCCCTGTCCTCCCCCTCACTCCAATCTCTAGTAACCACCATTCTACTCTCTATTGCCATGAGTTTTCCTGTTTTAGATTTAATGCCTAGATGAGATCATGTGATATTTATCTTTTTGTGCCTGGCTTATTTCAGTTAGCATAATGTCCTTTGGGTTCAACTAAATTGTCATAAATGAAGGCGTTTACTTCTTTGTTTTTTTAAAAAAGACATTTTACTGAAATACAGTATGCATACCAAGAAGTGCACGTAAGTATACAGATAATTGAGGTTTTGGTGTCCTACTCCAACTCATAACCCACATCCAAGTTAAGAACTAAACATTAGTAGTACCCCAAGAGTCCTCACTATCCCTCACCCCATTTCTTTTTTTAATGTGAGAAAAATGAGTATACTGCCATTTACATGGTATGATTCAGTGCAGCAATATTTGTAACTATATACCAAATGATTTGACATCCTCACATTTTTTATGTTCTCTCTATAAATTAACTACCACAAATAAGAGAAAGCATGTGATATTTGACTTTTTGGCTCTGGTTTAACAATCCCCATTTGCATTCATTTTGTTGCAAATGTCAGTATTTCAGTCTTTTTTGTTACTAAGTAATATTCCATCGTGTATATATGTACGCCACATTTTCTTCATCCAATAGCTAAGATATGGAATCAACCTGGATGTACCTCAGCTGATGATTGTGATTTGCTTCTTTTAAGTGCTGAATTGTATTCCATTGTGTGTGTGTGTGCTACAGAGTGGGAGAAAACATTTACAAACCATGAATCTGTTAAGGGACTAATGTCCAAAATATAGGAAGAATTATGATAATAGCAAAAAACACCAAATAATGTGACTAAAAACATAGGGAAATGATCTGAATAGATGTTTCTCAGAAGACATGCAAATGACCAATAGATGTATGAAGAAGTGCTCAACATCAGTAATCATCAGGAGAATGAAAATCAAGACCACATGAGCCATCACTTCACACCTGTTAGAGTGAATAATTGTCAAAATGATGAGTAAGTGGCGGTGAGGATGTGGGGAATGGTGTTTTTTTAAAACGAAATATTAAGTAGTAAAAGTTTACATGGCCAAATTTTTCTATCCGTTCCCTCATTTACTCTTTGCTTTAGAAAGTCATTCTCCATTTTTAGGTCAGATTAATAATTTACCTAAAGATTCCTCTAATTGTTTTAAATTTTTAACTTTTAAAATTTCAACGTAAATAGACTTCTGTATTTTCTTAGAAACTTGCTTATTATTATTGGAATTTCTTTTTGTTCTGTGAAAGTTAAAAATAACTAATTTCTAGTTATCCCAGCTTTCAGTCATTTTCAGGTAGAGTAACTTTACTAAAACCCTTAAAAATTCTTCCCTAGCTATTGGTCTGTTCTGGTTCTCATCTTTTTGAATTAAAGAACAATATTTATAGGAAGGGAATGAAATGGTTAGAGAATAACAAGAAGGTTAATTCAAGGTATTAAAAGATAGTACTGTCTTAAAGCACCTCAGATGCCATTTTAAGGAATTTGTCTTTTTCCCATTAGCAACGGGGGCCACTAAAAAGGAAGCTTTTTTTTTTTTTTTGAGAAAATAGATCTTTATTGGATTATAAGCAAGTCTTACTGCTCCAGAGCTATGAATAGACTAATACGAGTGACTCAAGTGTGAGCCTATGAAAGTCTGAAGTATTGAGACAGTAGAAATCAAAGAAAGAGCAGATGCAAAAGTCAGTGTGTTTCATGATTCACATGACTTAATGGCACACCACAGAGTTAGTACAAAAGACTTATCCTGTAAAACTTTAGGTTCAGAATCATTTAAGCCAAAAAATAATTACTGATATTCCTTGAGTAATAATTAAATATATAACTTTTACATATTAGAAGATATATGACATTTCTTGAAGGTAGAGCAAAAAACAAAAACCAAAAACCAAAAAACAAACAAACAAAAAAACCCCACAACTTCTTCCAGGATAAAATCTCAAGATGCTTACTGCTTTTGAAAGACCTCCATTCTCAGTCTGCCAGGATGCTGGTTGCATGCTTTTCTCCAATTTGCTATTAGTTTCATAATACAACCTTCTTGAACACCTGTTTATCCTCCTCCTGGGTTTATTTTAGATTTTCAGAGAAGGTTTATTTTAGTTTCTTTCTCCTGTTTTCCTTGCCATCTTTTATTTCATCTTAAAAAGCAGATGTACTTCACAATATTAACTAATTGGAAGTAAGTTTTTCAGGAGTTGATGGAGGTCAGTGATAATTTCAAAATTGTAGTCAGAAGTTCATGAGAAAAGAATCACATTCTCACACCTGATGAATAAGCCTCCATTCATAAAAGAGCAATTTCTCTTTTATTTGGATGTATCTTCAGTGCCAGAGAAAAGTCCTAATAACTTCTTTTACAGCACTATTTTTAGCATTTTATTTATTTTATTCATTTGAAACAGAGGGGAAATGTGAGAGAGACACACAGATTTCCTATCCACTAGTTCACTCCCCAAATGCCCAAGAAACTGGAGCTGGATCAGGTCAAAGCAAGGAGCTGGGAACTCAGTCCAGATCTTTCACATGAGTGGCAGGATGCAACTACTTGAAGCCATCGCCTGCTGCTTGCCAGGGTGTGCATTAGCAGGAAGATGCAATCAATAGCAGACTGAAGATAGGCACACAGGCATCCCAAGTGATGTCTTTTTTTCTTTTGGTGTGAAATTATTTTGAAGTATATACATAATCTTTTCATAATTTGCATTTTCCATGAAATTTCTGAAGACCCCTTTTACAGACAGAATTCCATTTCAATACAATGAAATCATTAAGTTGTAAAAAACATTTTTAGATAGCTTTGTACATAGCCTCTGGTAAGGATGCCTCAGTGATCTGGTTAGAGTTTTTGGTATTAACCAAGAATTCTGTGTGTCTTCATTGTAGGGATCAGATTTCATAACAAAAATGACAGTGTTTTCAAATGTAATATTTATGGGAAGTATACTCATATAGTACTTAAGTTTTAAATTTCCTTTTATTGAAAGCTATTCTAAAAATCTGATAGCTTGATAGTCCTTGTTTTGATCACCAAACAGCTGAAGAAGACTACTTCTTGAAGACTGACTGACATCTGTATGATAGGGGGGATAAAAGATGATTGACAAAGGTATAAAGAGAAATTGTAAAAATGGGGAAGTCCTTTTCCTAGCAGGAACACATACAAGAAAAAATATCTGAAGTTATGAAAAGTTGTAGTTTAGAAAAGATTAGCAAATGAGATTTCATTATCTTAGGGGGTTTTCTGGGGAAGATTATACTAAACTGTTTTTCTGAAAGTAACTATTTGGGGGACTTGATGATTTAACTTGGAGGGCTAAGTCTGTGACGGGGCCAGTAGGAGTGTAGGTTTGTTGGCTTCTCTGGAATACATAAACTGGAAGCTAATCTACAAGTAAAAATGATTATATGAAAAATTTAAAATCAAACTCACAGCAAGTAGAAGATACAAGGTGTGTATTATTAAATGATCAAGTTAGTTACAATGTAGTCCACTGTCGCTCCCCCTCTTCATGGAGGAATGACACAGGACCCTGCGCTGTTCTCTCGTCTGCTCGGCCCTCCCCGGGTTTGCTGCTGGTCCTTCCCGGGTTGGCTGCTGGTCCTTCCACCTCCGTGGAAGGGCGGTTCCCCCTGCCACATTCCCCACTTCCGCGGGGGAGCGGCACACCGCCGGCCGGCTCTCTCGGGGGCTGCACAGGTGTTCCCCTTAGATGTTCCTCTTAGATGTTCCTGGTGCATGCCGTCTCTCTCCTCCTTTATAGTCCTCCTCCGCCAATCCCAACTTGGCTGCCCACACGCCGAGTACGCTGCTCTCCTCCAATCAGGAGCAGGTCCTGCAGCTTGTCAAGTTGGTGAGAGGCAGCTGGGTAGAAGCTGTTTCCTCCTCTCCCAGCGCCATATTGTGGGAGAGCAGATGCATAGAATAAGTCTTAATTCCAGTAACTCAGTCCAGTCTGGGTTGCTCCCCATAGTCCACTAAAAATCTGGCTGCGGTATCAAAACTAATATAAAAGATGAAATTTTACTTAACAATGGCCAGTTCTTTTACACCTTTAATTTTCTATACATAATGGTAAATTAATGTTTTCTTAATTAATACACTAATGAGGATTCTCAAATGTATTATGTGAGGAATTAGATTTGATAAACCAATAGTAATATTATTTATTAATATTTTTTACTTGGTAACAGAGAACCAAGTGATGTCTTAACAATTGCCAAAGGCCTCCTGCTCCATAACAATTTCTACTTTCTTATTCTTGAGAAATGGCTTATTTTATTTTTCTAGAAAGCAGTTTTGTATAAATCAGTGACTAACACATTTTGGATATTCAGTAAAAATAGAAATAAGTGAATACCACATTTATTTCAGTGACACACATCTCTGATAAATATAATAAATGAAATAAATTTATAACCATGTAATTTATACAAAATACAATCAATAAACATATAATGATATAATCAAGTGTAAGTTATGTATAAAACGTTCATATGCTTTTTGCTATTAAGGTGATAATCAAACTCTCCAGAAGCAAGCAGAAGCAATCATCAATTGTTATTCAAATATAAAAATTAGTTGTATAGATATACCAAAAAGAGAAAGTGAATATTTTGCAATACATGTAAAAATGATTTTTTTTCTTTTTCTAGGACATATCGAGGGAGAGCCTATGTTAAACAGCGCTATTATAAACAAGCAACTCAAGACCTTTCTGCTGCAATTCACTTGGATCCTAATAACTGGTTAGCGTTGTATTACCGAGCTTGCTTGTTTAGAAGGAGTAACCCTTTGAGAGCGCTGCAGGATTACAGCGTTTCAGGTACTTTCCCTCAGCAACACATGCACAGGCATCTGGTCTGAGGGGAATACTTATGTGGGATCACGAATGTACTATGTATATTTTATACATAGTATACTTATAGTGTACTATGCATAGTTGTACATTTAAGTATATTTATTACTATATATTCCATAATACATATAATATATATATATATTCGTGTACATATGATGTAGCTAAAAGTGTTTCTAATAGAGCCCCCCCCTTTTTTGGTACATAAGCCTCAGGAATTTATCATTCACAATCTAAAAGGAACCTCAAGATATTTCCTTAGCTAAGAATAATATCTAGCAGTTATTGGAAATTTTAATACTTTTCAATCTCTGTGAATCATAATAGCCATGTTGTTACTAATAAACAAATACATTTTGTATGTATAATACTATTATGTTACTAAATGAGTACATTAATCAAACATTTATTTTATTTTATGTAATGTTAAAAAAATAGAGGCAGGCATTTGGTGCAGCATTTAAAATGTCGCTTTGGACAACCCATGTTGGAGTGCCTGGGTTCAGATCCCAGGTCTGCTTCTGATTCCAGCTTCCTGCTTGTGCATGTCCTGGGAGGCAGTGATAGCTCAAGTACTCAGGTCTTTCCACCCTTTTTGGAGACCTAGTTTGAGTTTTGAATTCCTGGCTTTGAGCTGGTGGACCAGCTCCAGCTGCTGCAGGCAGATGGGGAGTGAACCTATATATAGTATCTCTCTCTCTCTCTCTCTCTCTTTCTCTTTTTCTGATTCTCTGACTTTCAAATTAAAAAGTTAAAAAAATAATCCATAGGAAGGCTATAGGCTAAAATGTAACTCAGAAATGTTTGTTGTCTGAATAATGTGTATCTATCTATCTATCTATATATATGTTCTTTTATTTTTAAGTTCTGATAAATGATGGCTATGAGAATCTTAGTTCTTTTCTACATCGGGGCATAATCTATACAAATCTAAAGTTTTGGATGCTGGCAATTTGTGACTTCGAAACAGTTATTTCTCTAGAAAGGTATGTTTTCCTTTTCATGTGAACTGATGTCAGTTTTATTTAAAATTAATAAAAAAGACAAGTTGAAAGAAAACATTTTCTCTCCTAATTGATAACATAGTAGACAATGAGAAAATCATAAATTCATATTAAAACTAGAATACTACTAAAAATAAGATAACTGGTGAAATAAGACTTGGCCTCAACATCTGTTTGCTTCAGGTGCTTTTGCAAACTTTAGAGACTGAATGGGTTTGAGAGGAGTTAAATCATTGATAATAAATTAACAAGTTAGTAAGAGGAGCTTGGGAATACCCAGTCTAGAGTTTTTTAAAATTAACTTCATTGAAAGCTATCAAGTTTTAAAATAATGATAAAGTATTCTGCTTGAGATGTCACTGCTGTGCTATCCATTATATATAACTAAATAGCACTTTTTATTTAGATTTTCACTTCTGATTTCATTTTGCTTAGTTCAGTAAAAGAAAAAAACCAATACCATTTTCAACCATTGTTTCAGAAAATCAAGCGGTAAAACACAAATCATGCCAATTCCATGCCAACTAGCAAACTATGTATTAGCTTTATCCAAGATAAATTTTGAATTTGACTTAGGAAAGTCATGGGTTGTGGTTCCCTTAATGACTACAGTAGTTTTCTTTGGGATGTTTTAGCCAGGAAGGAAAAGGAAAGAGTTAAGTGCAAAGTGGGCAATAAAAAGTTTGGTGTCCTGGAAGAGGATCAAGGCTTGATGAGGTTGGGGCATTGGATGTAGAGTTTCCTCACCTTGAAGTAGAGACATTGAACAAGGTAATTTCTAAAGTGGTCTCTGCAATGGAAAATTGTTTGATTCTGAGAGAAAAACAGGAGATGGTGTTATAGCATAGCAGGTTAAGCCTCTGCCTGCAATGCCAGCATCCCATATGGGTGTCAGTTCAAGTCCTCGCCGTCCCACTTTCCTTTTTTTTGTTTTGTTTTGTTGTTTTTTATTTTACAGATACAGTTATAGACAGAGAAAGAGACAGAGAGAAAGATCTTCCTTCCGTTGGTTCACCCTTCAAATGGTTGCTACGGCCGGAGCTACGCTGATCCGAAGCCAGGAGCCAGGTGCTTCCTCCTGGTCTCCCATGCAGGTGCAGGGCCCAAGCACTTGGGCCATCCTCCACTGCACTCCTGGGCCACAGCAGAGAGCTGGACTGGAAGAGAAGCAACCGGGACTAGAACCCGGTGCCCATATGGGATGCCAGTGCCACAGGAGGAGGATTAACCAAGTGAGCCACGGCGCCAGCCCCAGCCGTTCCAATCTAGCTCCCAGCTAAGCTGGGTGCCTGGGAAAGAAGTGGATGATGGCCTGAGTGCTTGGGTCCCTGCACCTATGTAGGGGAGCTGAAAGAAACCCCTGGCTCCTGACTTCAGACTGACCCAGCTTTGGCCATTGTGGCCATTTAGGGAGTGATCTAGTAGATAGAAGTTCTCTCTCTCTCTCTCTCTGTCCCGCTACTCTCTCTGTAACTCTACCCTTCAAATAAAAAAAAAAAAAATCTTTAAGGGGGAAAAACAATTCATTTGATATAAACAAGTAGCTGCATTAATACCTATGTGGAGAAAATTTTTAAGCCTAAACTGCCAAATCCTAGAATATTTCTATTTCTCACTGTTACTTGTGACCTAAGGTTGAAGAAAACTAAGCTTATTATTCAAAATAATTCAAGTTGAGGTCAACAAACAATAAATTATTCTAAGAGCCTAGAAGATTTCAGGAATTCTGTTCTGAGCACGGACTCCAAATGTTAATTTTCTATGAAGGATTTTATAAAGGTGTTTATACTTTTTTATAGGGTAATTTACCTGACTTTCATGAAACATTAACTAGAATACAGTGGATGTGGATTGATGTATGTATTTCATTATGTACATTCAAAAATAAGTCTAAATAATTCATAATTGAAGAATATTTTGGATAATTGAAGATGTCTAACAAGATTTTTCTCATTTTTTAGAACTATTATTTTACCTTATATAAATATTGGTCTCATACATTTGCTACACCTGGATAACTATACTGAAGCCATTTGGCAGTTTTCTGAGGCCATTAGAATTGATCCATTATATATTCAAAGCTATATTTGCCGAGCAGAAGCCTTTCATAAGGTATTTAAAATTTGACAATAATTTTTTTTAAAAAAAGGTTTTAATTTTCTGGGTATATGTTCAATTTAATTTTGTATAATATTAATTTATTTTTCAGCATATTATAGGAGTGAATGCATTCATAAGCAACAAAAATTTAGCAAATATAGTTAACTATGCTTACCTTCCTATAAAGTGTTTACTTCTAAGATGTACATGATTGTCTTTATTAAATATTTCCTCTTTTCTTATTATAAAATCATATATTTATTAAGTGTAATAAATATATTCAAATAGTTGCAAACTAATAAGTATAATTTCATTCTCCAGAGGTAACTACTATTAACATTTTGGAGTCTAAGGGCTGGCATTGTGGTATAGTGGGTAAAGCTGCTGCCTAAAATGTTGGAATCTTATATGGGTGCTGGTTGATGTCCCAGCTGCTCCACTGCTAATGGACTGGAAAAAGCAGAGGAAGATTGTCCAAGTGCTTGGGCCCCTGAAACCCATGTGGTGTGGAAGACCTGGAAGAATTCTTGCTCCTGGCACAGCCATCTGGGGGGAGTGAACCAGTGGGTAGAAGATCTCTTTCTCTGTCTCTCCCTCTCTCTGTAATGCTGACTTTCAAATAAATAAATAAATCTTTAAAGAAAATATTTTGGAGTCTGTTGGTCTAGCATATGTGTGTGTATGGGTGAGTATATGAGTTCATTGAATGGGATCCTAATCATACATACATTCATTTAAATATTTTCAAAGTTTTACAAGATGTTTCAGTAAAAAAAAAAAAATCTATATATATCCTTAGTGTAACAAATCCGAACGATTCAGTAAGTAGGAAAAGTCCTCCAACTGCAACAAATTTGACCTTCCAGAGACAATCACTGTCAATTCTTGTCTCTGCCCTTCAAAATAGATGTGTCTTTCCACTACTGCACCACAAACTGCCATCTCCTAGACACTGTCAGATCTCACTAGGGTTATTGCCGCAGCTCCCCAGTCTTGTTTCTGTTTTTTACTCTTTCCATTGGATTTTCAACACCACAGCCACAGTAATCCTGCCAAAACACGTCAGATTATTTGCTCAAAATCCTTCCACAGCTTCCCTTTGCACTTAAACTAACAGCCAAATTCTCTGAAAACCAAAGGCCTACCAGTGCCTTCAGGAGCTGGCTCCTCATTGCCCCCTGTGCTTCCCTGCAAGTCCTGCACTTCATTCTGAGGGATGGGCCAGTCAGCATGGACTGGGTGATGCCACAGCCAAGAAACTTCAGAATTACATACGAACACCACGAAGACTTGTTTCTTGTGCACCGTATGTGTGCCCTGAGGGCTGCCTGGGGTTCTGCTCTCCACTGTTTACATCTCAGCACCAGTATGATTAGAGTGCCATTCAAAATCTTTGGCATTCTAAAAAACTGTGGAGCTAACAGCCCATGGCTGATCCACATTTACTCTTGACCCCTGATGGGGAAGGCATGGACATGATTCCATGATGTGTTTTTTTTTGTTTGTTTGTTTGTTTTTTGGTTTTTTTTTGCTTAAAGTAACCTTGCTGAAGAAGCTCAGGCCTTTGGGGAAGGTTATGTATCCTGAGCAGCAGCATGAGAGAAGGGTGTAAGATCACCTATTCAAAGCTCTCTATTTTTTGAAGCAAAAATCCTTACCTGGCAATAGCTGAAGAAATGGTGATGTTTTTACGCCATGGGATATTATGGAGTCAATTAAAAAAAAATGAACTATACCTGCTGATTTGGAGGGATTTCCATGAGATTTTTTTTAAAAGATTTATTTAGTTATTTGAGAGAGTTACACAGAGAGAGGAGAGGCAGAGACAGAGAGGTTTTCCATCCGATGGTTCACTCCCCAGTTGGCCACAATGGCCAGAGTTGCGCCCATCCAAAGCCAGGAGCCAGGAGCTTCCTCCAGGTCTCCTACACGGGTGCAGGGGCCCAAGGACTTGGGCTATCTTCTACTGCTTTCCAGGCCATAGCAGAGAGCTAGATCGGAAGTGGAGCAGCCGGGTCTAAAACTGGCACATACAAGGGATGCCGGCACTTCAGACCAGGGCGTTAACCCACTGTGCCACAGCGCCAGCCCTTCCATGAGATATTTTTGAGTAACAGAAGCAAGGTTCAGAAGAGAGTATAAAGTATGTACAACTTCCAAGTGATTAAAACAATTATATAGTAAATTATATATATATTTATACTATATATATATAGTATATATTATATATATTTATTTATACTATAAAGTAACCCTTGCCTATATAGAAGACTATATATTTCCCCTGTGTGAGTCCAGTCTCCGGAGTGAATCTAATATAAGGCTTCCTGGAGAGGTCCTACCCCAGGGAAACTTGGAAAGATGAGAGTGAACCTCTGTCTGTAGTTCCAAACCAAGGTTTCCTCAATGCAATGATACGGGCAGTTGGAAGAACAGGTGCGGCAATATAGAACAGATTTATTACCTATGCCAACCTAAGCAGAATCAGCTAAGAATAGATCCCTCAAATTTGTTTAAACAAATCTCAAACTTCCTCCTTTTAAGTTCCCACTTTTGACTCTAACCACTTTTTGCTCCAGTCTGTACTATTCCTGCATGTGCTGGTTACTTCCATCCACAGATTAGTTTTGTACATACTGTTCTTTGCATCATTATGTCATTATAGTAGGAGGCTGTGGTTGGTTGTCCTGTGTTAATTTTGGTTGTGTCTGTGTACTGTATATTTGGTAATATCTCCAAGGGTAGTTGATTTTTGTCTCTGAATATATAAAAATTCAGATTATATTTCTGTGACTAATATTAAGGAAAGAATGTTTCCTTGTCATTATATATTGATGCTATAAGGTTCTGTTTTTGCATCATTTTTAGATTTTGTTCATTTACTTAATTTTCGGGCAAGCTTGCTTTTTATATCTTATTTTCAAATGGAATTGACTTTTTATTTTAGCCCTCTTTGCATTTTAGTTTCATTTTTTAGCGTGGGTGAAGTTTGGTGAAAAAATGTTATGGTTGAGGGAGAGAAACTGAAAAGTTGAATGAAAAAGAAAGCACACACCCAAAATAAGATGTTTAATATAGTTTTACATATGGAAATGTATGTGTACATGGTATGTATAATCAGTTCTCAAAATTAAGTGATTTTAAAAATCAAAAGACTTTGCCTCATGAACATATGCTAAAACTTTTCAATACCCTATGTTTTTGACGACTGTTAAGACATTCATGCATTAGGATATATCCTTGCAACCTTTCCATAGTAAAGAGGGAAGGGATAAAAAACAAAAAGCAATCGGTTTTATTAGGAGGTAAGTTTCTGTTTATCATTCAACAGGTGAATAAGTTGAAAAAGGCAGTCAATGAATTATCTCGGGCTATACACCTTCAGCCAGATGGAATCCAATTATACATAATAAGGTATGAGCCTAGAAATTGAATCCTTTTGCACCTGTTCCAGTTGTTGGGCTCTTTAGCTCTCTCATGATTCTTTGAGTCTCCTCCTGTTACATTTAATTTCTGAGCAATGGCCATCTCCCAACAGCAAGCTGGATGTAGTTGTTATTTTTGCTAAACTTGAAGGTAACTTATTACATAAGATAAACAGCTTTTTCCCTTTGCTGTACCCTTCCGTCAAAATGCTTGCTACTGGTTAAGTTTTGCAGGTGAATAGTTGTATATTTATCAATTGCCTCCTGAAAGTAAGGTAACTTATTTTGAGCAGTTGTGATTGTATCCACAGAGGTACCAAACGTAAACCTTAGGCGATTCAGTGAAAAAAAGAATGATATATTGTATTCCAGACACAGTGGAGCTTGCTGTATAGGGGTCCTTTGCAAGCTATGAGTTGTCACTGCTGAAATACATAATAGTCTTTAAAGATTTATATACCTGGAAAAATGAAATGGAACAATGTTTTCTGATATAGGCTTGCTTTTTCATTTGACTCCTGATTCACATTTTAGCAATTTATACAAATACTTCCCTCTCTTTATATTTCTGGACAATACAAATTTTTCTTTCATTATCACTTTCTAAATTCTTTTCTTATCACAAGTCTGCTAGTTTGTCTATTTAGATGATAAGAATATCTATAATTTTCACCTTATTTTTATGCAAAAGTATGTAAATATACATGGATGTATTCTAATTATAAAATTTTAAGTACCTGATTATAAGAAACTTTATTTTTAGAAAAATTATTTTAGGTTGCTTAGAATCATAAAGCTACTATTTCTTTCAGAGGACAGTATCTTCTTATGATGAAATGCTATGAACTTGCAAAGTTCACTATTTATCAAGTATCAGAAATGAACAGAGGTAAGTACAGTTGATGCAAAATTATAATTGGTTTAAATCTTTTATACTACTTGAAATAGCTATATGTGTGTGAGTATATCATATATATATAATACATATAGCATCAGTTGAAAGTCAAAGTTAGGTTTTAGAACTTGAGGTTCACATGTACATAGTCAATTACTAAAATGATTATTTCAGTGAACTTTTGGAGAGCTGCTATCACAGAAAATATAAGGCTTACAATTGTACCTTTTAGTGTATAATTAGAATTTCTTATTTTTTTCTGGTAGTAAATAGTTTGGGTATAATATTGAGTTGTTAATTCAAAGAAAGTTTATTATATTGCTTGATTTCATTAAAATGATTATATTTTAAATCCTTGATACCTGGCAAAGGTATTGATAAACTTTCCTTTCCTTTTAGGTCTCATTGATTTGACTCCTATACAGCAAGCACTCATTTATTCATTTTGTGAAAATCATGACAAGGCCATTCAGGTCTCAGAAGGAATCACATGGAATAGACCTGATATGGCCACGTTTGCTCTAATAGCAAAAGCACATATGAAGGCGAAAAGAACAAAGGTGAGAAGTCCTCTGAGTAACACTTGCTAAATCCATGGTGCAATGTATAGATTGTACTTAGTTTGACATGTAACTATTATAAATCTAAACTAAAATCACTTTATAGAACTAAATTATACTACTCTTTTGTATTTTCTTTGTTAACTAATATTTAGGTTATTTTTTTCCCCTCTGAGGAATAGAGTTTCTCTAAATATTCTCTTTTTTAATCTTCTGTTAACACGTGGAATAGTTTTCCAGAATATATTCCCAGAGAGTGACTGTTCAGCTTTCAAGAAAGTGACACACATTGTAAAAATTGAAAGAAAAATAAGAAAGGGAGGAGGAGGTTGGAAGTGAGGGAGGAAAGAAAGACATGATGGAAAGTGTCATTATGCTGTTAAATCTGTATATATGATACATGAAATTTGTTCTTATATAAATAGAAAACATTTAAAAGAAAATGATACATTGTGCCCCAGAATTGTACCAATTCATTATCCTACCTGTGGCATGAGTGTTCCTGTTGATCTGTGTCCTCTACCATAAGTGGTGATATTAACTTAACTTTTGCCAATTTGGATAAAAATTTTTGTCTCACTGTTGTCTGGATCGCTGTTCCTGAGTCTGAGCATCAGGTTGAGTATCGGTGTTTATCAGTTACTCCTGTTCTCTCAATTTCCTTTTTCCATTTTTGTGCTTGTCTGGTTCTTAGTGATTTTGGGCATTTAAAAATGAACTCTGTACTCTAATCTTTGACTATGTGCCACATATCTTCTCAGAGTTGTGGTTTATCTAGGATTTTCTTTTTGTGTCTTAACTGTAATGTGTAAAACAATTTTAAATTTCTCAGGGCTTATTTTTTAAAAGATATTGTGTTGCTCCCCCTCTTCATGGAGGAATGACACTAAACCCTGCCTAGGCTTCATATCCGAGTCACGGCACCATTATGTCGCTCCCCCTCTTCATGGAGGAACGACACTAAACCCTGCCTAGGCTTCATATCCGAGTCACGGCACCATTATGTCGCTCCCCGTCTTCGTGGAGGAACGACACAGGACCCTGCGCTGTTCTTTCGTCTGCTCGGCCCTCCCCGGGTTTGCTGCTGGTTCTTCCCGGGTTGGCTGCCGTCCCTTCCACCTCCGTGGAAGGGTGGTTCCCCCTGCCACTTTCCCCACTTCTGCGGGGGAGCGGCACACCGCCGGCCGGCTCTCTCGGGGGCTGCACAGGTGTTCCTTCAGATAGATGTTCCTTGTGCATGTTGTCTCTCTCCTCCTTTATAGTCCTCTTCCACCAATCCCAACTCTGCTACCCACACGCCGAGTACGCTGCTCTCCTCCAATCAGGAGCAGGTCCTGCAGCTTGTCAAGTTGGTGAGAGGCAGCTGGGTAGAAGCTGTTTCCTCCTCTCCCAGCGCCATATTGTGGGAGAGCAGATGCATAGAATAAATCTTAATTCCAGTAACTTAGTCAAGTCCGAGTTGCTCCCAGTTGCTCCCCACAGATCCCCCTTTCTTTTTATTTTTGGCGTTGATACGCGCCTGTCTTCGGTGCCCCGTGGCACACACTCTGCTCTGCTTACTAGAGTTGCCCACAGGTGCTTACAAGCCCTATCAATCAGGCAAACCGAATCCGGGTCCTCTCTTTGCCATGTTGTGAGGAGGTTTTTAGGCGCTGATGCGTGCCTGTGTTCAGTGCCCTGCAGCGCATGCTCTGCTCTGCTAGAACTGCCTGCAGGTGCTTACAAGCCCTACCAATCAGGCAGACCGAATCCAAGCCCTCTCATTGCCGTCTTGTGGGGAGACTTATTGGTGTTGATAATGTGCCTGTCTTCGGTGACCTGCAGCCGCCCACAGGTACTTATCGTCTTACTAATCAGGCAGACCGAATCCAAGCTCTCTCATTGCCATGTTGTGGGGAGGCCTTATTTTTCTCTATTTCTCTATCTCCGGGCATTCCTATTTCTCCTATTTTACTTCTATCTACCAGCATTCCTATTTCTCTCATTTTACTTCTAAACTTCTGTTTCTCGTATCCCCGCGGTTTCCCGGCGCCCGCCCCGAGGCTGCTTCTCGGCACCTCACCCGCGGCGGCTTCCCGGCTCTGCGCGGCTCGGCTTCGCGCGCTCAGCGGTCTCCATGCCCTTCGCGCCCGCACCACAGCATTCGCGCCGGCCCCGCGTTCCCTATCTATTCACGCCCCGTGCTCTCTCTGCACGCGGCGGCTTCCGCGAATCACACAGCCTAGCTCACGTTTCCACCACCGGTATTCAGTCTAAGCTCCCCGGGCTAACCTGGCGAATTCAACCTGGCTCACGTCTCCGCCTTTTGGTTTGGCTTCCCATCTTTTGCTCCCCGGGCTAATCTGACGGACTCCAACCTGGTGGCCCACTTCTCTGCCTCTGGTTCCAGATTTTCGCCTTTTGCTCCCCGGGCTGACTTGAAGAATTCCAAGCTAGCTTACGTCTCCGCCTTGGCCTGCCCCCGCGGCTTCATCCTCCCTAACATTTTTCTCTACCCGGTATGTTTCCTAACTTTTCTTCCAACAATATTCCTCCCTCATTTCTCCTGGCTTCTCCCCACAGTCTGTATCCGAGTCTGTTTGTTCTAGCTTTCACTTTCGCTTTTGACCTAAGAGATTTCTCCCAGCTTCCCCCCGTAGTCCGTATCCGAGTCTATGCCTAGGCTTTCGATATCTTCTTCCGGCACCTTTTCCATCCGGCTTTTCCCTAGGCTCTTTGCTAGTCTCTCTCTCCGGTATTTTCCCACTTCTTCCCGTTTCTTCCCTCCTAGGTTTCCTATCCGAGTCACGGCACCATTATGTTGCTCCCCCTCTTCATGGAGGAATGACACTAAACCCTGCCTAGGCTTCCTATCCGAGTCACGGCACCATTATGTCGCTCCCCCTCTTCGCGGAGGAACGACACAGGGCCCTGCGCTGTTCTTTTGTCCGCTCGGCCCTTCCTGGGTTTGCTGCTGGTTCTTCCCAAGTTGGCTACCGACCCTTCCACCTCCGTGGAAGGGCGGTTCCCCCTGCCACTTTCCCCACTTCCGCGGGGGAGCGGCACACCGCCGGCCGGCTCTCTCGGGGGCTGCTCAGATGTTCCTCAGGTGTTCCTGGTGCATGTTGTCTCTCTCCTCCTTTATAGTCCTCTTCCACCAATCCCAACTCTGCTACCCACACGCCGAGTACGCTGCTCTCCTCCAATCAGGAGCAGGTCCTGCAGCTTGTCAAGTTGGTGAGAGGCAGCTGGGTAGAAGCTGTTTCCTCCTCTCCCAGCGCCATATTGTGGGAGAGCAGATGCATAGAATAAGTCTTAATTCCAGTAACTTAGTCTAGTCCGAGTTGCTCCCAGTTGCTCCCCACAATATTGTATAAGAAATTCTTCTCCATACCTAAGCTACTAAGATATTCTCTTACATTTTTACTAAAAAGTTTGCTTTGATTTTTCCATTTAAGACCAACTTACTCTACCTTAAGTTAATTTTTTTTTGTTGTGAAACAATGAAAGAATTTCAATATTCTCCATATGGAGATCCAAGTGTTTCAGTATTGTGTATTGAAATAGTCTCCTTAGTACAAAGATCTTCAGTGCTACATTTATCATATTTTAAATTTTCATATATGTTTGGATCATGGATGGTTTTGGTCAATTTTACTCCTGTTCAAAAATTCAATTATTGTTACCACAATCTTTCTTGTAATTTTGATACCTGCCAGAGACACTACTCTGCTACATACATTTTAAATTCATCTACCCATATCCATTAAAAACACTCTTGGACTTTTGATTGAAATTATACTAAATTTGAGGGAGAATTGACACCTTTAAGATAATGAATTTTTTAGTTTATGGCTATGATAATATACCTCCCCATTTATTTGACATTTTCTTTCAAATAGATTTTATATATCTTTTGTTGAAAGTGTTCCTAGATGTTTTCATAATTTTCATCACTATTATACATAGTATCTTTTAAAAAATATTTGTCTATTTTTTTAATTCTTTTCTTTATTTTCTTTATTTTTTTTGACAGGCAGAGTGGACAGTGAGAGAGAGACAGAGAGAAAGGTCTTCCTTTGCCGTTGGTTCACCCTCCAATGGCCACCATGGCTGGCGCGCTGTGGCCAGCGCACCGTGCTGATCCGATGGCAGGAGCCAGGTGCTTATCCTGGTCTCCCATGGGGTGCAGGGCCCAAGGACTTGGGCCATCCTCCACTGCACTCCCTGGCCATAGCAGAGAGCTGGCCTGGAAGAGGGGCAACCGGGACAGACTCCGGTGCTCCAACTGGGACTAGAACCCGGTGTGCCGGTGCCACAAGGCGGATTATTAGCCTATTGAGCCGCGGCGCCGGCTATATTTGTCTATTTTAAAGTCAGAGTTACAGAGAGAGGAGAGATGCAGAGAGGGGGATTTTCCACCTGCTGATTCACTCTCAAAATGGCCATAATGGCTAGGTCTGGGCCAGGACAAAGCCAGGAGCTAGAAGCTTCTGGATCTCCCACGTGGGTGCAGATACCCAAACATTTGGGACATCTGCTGCTGCTCTCCCAGGGGCACATTAGCAGAGAACTGCATTGGTAGTGGAGCAGCTGGTACTCTAACCAGTGCCCATGTGGAATGCAAGTGTTGCAAGTGGCAGCTTTACCTGCTACACCGCAATACCAGGCAGGCCTGTAAGTGGTATCTAAAAAATTGGTTTACTGATGGTTTATAAAAATAAATTTTTTAATTTGCATAGTAATGAGCCAGTTTGCTGTGCTCTCTCCTATTGTCTCTGAAAATAGTTCAGATCATTATTTTGGGTTCATAAGTAGAAATTTAAATACTTTATAAATAAGAGTAGTTTATATCTTCCTTTATTTTTCTTTGTTCTCCATTTCTTTTTCTTATCTAACAGCAAAACAAAGAATGGTGACAGAGACATCCTGTCTTCTTCCAAATTTTAAAGAGATTTATGCTACTAAGAATGAAATTTATGGTTGATTTTTGTAGACTACTTGAACTAATATAAGGCTAA